TGCAATGATGCTTTATACTTTGTTTGCATAGAAATTAAAGAAAAGTTTAGCGGAAAGAAAATGGCAGGAGAGTAAATGAAAAGAAAAGAAAACTTGATAGGAAATGTCCTCTTTCTTTTGTTCGGATAAATGAGAGAAAATAAATAAAAAAGAAAATGAGCAAATGTCTGACTGAATAAAATACTTTCTATTAAATTTATATTGTTTAAAATCAAATTGAGTACCACAATGAAACAAAATCAAATAAACATTAGCATCATCAAATAGGTAAAATTAACATAAGTCCCGAGTAACACAATTTATTAATCTAAAATTCCACAAAATCTCAAAATAAATAGGAAGTCTCATAGGACATAAGAGTAATATATTCTAAATAGGAAATTATGTCATTTTGTTCTTGTGCCCAATTCAAACTAACGTAGGAGATCCCATACAATTTATTAATCTAAAATTTCATAAAATCTCAAAATAAATAGGAGGTCTCATAGGACATAAGAGTAATATATTCTAAATAGAAAATTACATTATTTTATTCCCATGCCCAATTCAAATTCAAATAAGAGTAGAAATAGGTCAGGTCACTATTAAGCAGTCTACGGCCTGGCCTAGTTAGGTCTTAGTTTGGCCTAGCCTATTTAACAAATAGGTCAAGCTCAAGCCTTTTTAAAAGCCTATTTACTTAAACAGGTCAGGCCTATTTTATTGAGACTTGGCATATAAGGCTTGACTTGTTTAAATTTTTTTAATATATAAATTTACATATATTATATAATTAAGAAATATTGTAATTTTAATGTTAGATGGGTTATTACCTATTAAACTTAGGTGTTTTAACCATTCATCATCACTTCACACTCACCGGTGAGTATAGTCGGCCTTATCATCTCTTAGATTCCAACCCCCTGTTTCCGTCTTCGTTCTTTAATCTCGTTTCTAGCGTTTAGATTTGTTCGCTTCCATTCTCGTTCTCCTATAATTGGTTGATAAAAAAATAATCTAATATCTCTAAAATTGTTATTTATTTCAATTTTTTTAAATATGTTTATTTTATATTAAACAAAAATCTATTTTTCAATGGTGCGGGGGCAAGAAAGATGGGGAGAGTGGATAATTTCTGCAAGGCCAAAGGGGAGAGAGTGAGAGTGTGCTTGAGTTTAAGCGTGGAGATAGGCCTTCTCACCAGGTCCTTCTCGTCATCGCGCAAACATCCCGATTTTCGAGGATTGAGGTTGATGATAATCTAGGATACAAGAAGGGTATATTATAATTTATGAGAAAGATTATCCTATCTCTCATCCTTAATATAAGAACTTGTTTGAATTTTATTTTAGTCCTAAGTATAAGACTATAATCCACTTTATCTCTCATATTTATTTTTTTCAAAAGTAGTCCCTCTAATAATTGTAGTTCTAACCAACAATTTGATTAGTGAGGATATTTTAGAAAAGAAAACTCCCATTTATTACAAATAACAAATTTAAATTATTTTCTTAACATACTCAAATTAGCCAACTAACTCTTATATTTAGAGTCGGAGTGTTATCATAAAATTAGTTTTATACATTAGTCTAACTGAAAAAAATAGTTATCGGAATAAATGCTTTGATATGTCTGTTAATTAGTAATTAGTCATGAATTAAATAATATTATGCTAAGTAAATTATAATTATAAAACTTTCACATTAAAAGATTGAGATTAGTTAAGGAGTTATTAACATATGGATAAAACTTACGTCAAGTAAATTAGGCTATCATATTATGCCACTTGCATTAGTTTAACAGGTCAGCACATAACGCCAAAGTCACCGTTGCACGAGTCTTGTTATCTGATTCAACACAGCCACAAATGGGTTTCTTTGAGTCGACGGCTTGGGATATTGGGGTTTTCTCGATTAGGCTACTGCCTTTGGGATATTGAATGAGAGGAATATATAGCATAAGCAAAATATATTCTCTAAGCAGTGTGAGTGCTATTACTTCTGCGCAATTCTGTTGTTTTAATATTTGGGGTGTTTCTTTGATTTTTGGCTGGAAAAAATCCATTATCGCATTACTCTTGAAATTTCCATCCCTTTCAAGCCAACTGATGAGATCCTTTTGAAATTAATCCTCAGGGAAATAACGAATCTCAAAAGTAAGAATTACCAAGAGAGATTACATAAACTTTTTCTCTTCCTGTAGTATGCCACGGATTTCTTTATTATTTAATTTTGTTCTATCTAAAACAAAACTTCAATTTTCCCCCACTTTGTTCTCTTCACTTCTGGGAATCAATCAATCAATCAAACGATTTCTTCAAACAGATATTCCACACATGCAAGAGGAAACCTGAAAACATGTTGCGAGTCGGCTTCGAGCAGAGTCTAATAGGTGCCGATAGAGAAAACCCCAGTTTGGTCGTCGTTTCCTCCCTACTCTTGCTAATAATGGTTTAACGGTGACTTTGGGGTTAGTGCTGACCTGTTAAACTAATATAGGTGGCGAAATATGATAGGCTATATGGACTTAATGGATCTAACTGACTTAACCTAAGTTTAGTCCTTAACATATTATCTATATCTAATGAGATTGGATAAATTTCAAAACAATGAAACTTAAAATTTTAATTATATAAATTAAATAAAATATAATTTAAATATTATAATATTTATTAACCTATGGAACAAAATAAACATGCACCTCCCGTGTTCTCAATTCTCTCCCATCTCACGGCTGCGTCTTCTTCCTCATGCTTTCTTTTGTATCCTCTCATGATTTTCACAAGCCTTGCTTTTGTTTCTATCAATTCCATATATGTGATATTAGTCACATGCCATCTGTCCGTCTCTATCAATTTTTCCCTTCCTCTATTTTTTCTTTTCTTTCTTCAGTTGATATTCTCATATATATATATATATATATATATATATCCAACTTTGCATTTTTTTTCTTCTTCTTAAGGTTGATAGCTTACTGAAATATGTTACAACTGTTTATCCTTTACCCACAGTTATAACTTGTTATAAAGAGGAATTACTTAAGGTTGTATTTGACATATGTAAATCATCTTATTTTATTTTCTAGAACTAAGAAGCATACGACCTTAGCATATATTTCCTACTTACAAATATTTACATAGACATTATAAATTTAAACTAAAAATCAATATTAGTCAAATCTTAATTAGGAGAATTTAATAATATCTAATTTGGGTTTTTCAGAGCAACTTGAAGACTCTAAGACAGTTTTAGAGTCACTTAAAGTACTCTTAGGATAGGTTTTTAATTATATGAGTTATGAATTAACATTTTCATATATGTGTGATTCTTATAGATTGTCATTGGGAATTCGTATTATTGAGATTTGTTGCTTGACTGCATTTGAGTTAAAAGAGAACAGATAATCTGGTATTTTCTTTGTACATGCAAACATGTTTGTTATGATTGAATATGTAGGGATAGACGTATGAGATATTATTTGGTTAAATGTGACAAAGTACACAATTTATTGAGACTGCAAAACAGTGAAAGAAAATGATATGGATATATTATTTTTCATTGTTATTTAATTTTTGTTAAGCATATTCTACATGTAGTAGATATACATATGTGAAATGAAATCATAGAGTAGTCTATCTCTTTCAAGCATATTTGTGATTTATTTTAATGATTCATGAGATACTCTAAATTCTTTCAAGCATGCTTGCATGTACTGGAATTGCTGCATATGCATGACATGCATTGGTAGTTGAGCTAAGGAGTTATGATATTGACTTATATGAAATATTGTAATCACGTGATTTGCCTCCACTAACACAGTGGTTAGTCATTTTTAGGGCTCGATTCCTTAATATTTACTTGGTTAGGTTTGTAGAGGGGGAATATGGGACTGGGACATCTACTGGTTTGTTCGTTAACGAGGGGAGCTATAGTTTGGGCTTGGGCTTTGTATGTTTGGCCGGGTGCATCCTGAGCAATGGAGTGGCTTTGGTCAGTCCGATATGTAGGCCATACTGGAGATAAGCCTATGGTCTCAGTTAGTGGAATAAGGTTAGACAGAGCAACAAAGAAGGAAGTATCTATTGCATATAGATGTGTTACACTTGTGATAATTATGAACTGCAATGATATTATCTACTAATGATTATTTTAAGTTATTTCAGTGATTGTATATATGGCAGATAATGATTGCTTTTGTGATAGTTTGTATGTGCATGCTTAAACTCCTAGTTAATGAGACATTAGTGCTTACTTCTCTTATTTAACATTTTTCAAATGAAGGATCTCATAAGGAGCAAGGGAAGGTGTCACACCTCTCTTTAATATCCATTATACACCAATTAGAACCATTATAAGTCGTTTCATAGCATTTCTGGATGAGAAATTTTAAATTTCAGGATTTTACTGTTCTTCCTGTCTGTACACATTCATCTGAAAATAGGCCAACTTTGAAAATTCATAACTAAATCGAGAAAAATCAAAACGACGTGGTTCCAATTTTCACACGAAGCTTGCTAAGATTTCTATGGAGAAAAAATAATCATTAGGTCCAATTCCATCCTAGAATAATTCTAGAAAATTTGAAAAAGTATACTGTTTATTTGGTAAATTTTCAAATTTTCAGTATTTTATCCAAAATTGGAAGGGCATAACTCTTAGCGCACAACTCCAAATTTAATGAATTACCACTTGTTTTAAAGCTAAAACTGAGATTTATTTGCCTATAAATTTTCATGCCCAAACTCCAACAATTTCTTATTATTTTATGTGCCACAAGTGTGATACTTTTTAGGGAATTTCTATCCCCTAATTACCATTTTCTTGATTTATTTCCTCTTTTTCCTTCAACCACAATCCTTCCACAATGCCTCAAGCATAATTCCAACATTGGTCCACTTCCTAATTAGGGCATAAAATAACATAGGAGGAATGAGATTTCAAAAAAAATCTCAGTAGCATATGAATTATAATTATCATGTAAATCAATACAAGTTTAATTGTGAAATGTCATGCAATCCAAACCATTCTCAACTCATAGAAATTCATACCACATGTCATGCAAGGAGAGGAACATTATATTATTCACATTGACATACCACAAAGTATTTGGCCAAAGCATAACCAATGTCAATCAAACAATCAATGTCATCACAAAGTTCCTCCAATTCAAGCAACAACAATCACAACAAACAAGCAAGATAAATAATCAAATTATAATTCAAAGCTACCTTTGCAAAGCTTGCCCACTTAATTCCTCCAAGGAGCAATGCTTCTCCTTAATTCCTCCTCTCAATGCCTTACTGTTTCCTTGAAGTAAGTTGGATGATTCCTTACCTAAAACTCCTCAAGAATTTCGTGCAACAGGGCTGGATGAACAGTGACAGAGTTTCCCCTTATTTTTCCCAATTTTCTAACATTTTCTTTGTATTTTCAAGGGGTATTTATAGACCAAAAATTCTGCCACTTCCCCCCTAATTAGTAGGCCCAAATGAAAGATAAGGGGGTGTGTTGGCAGCCATCAAGTGCCTCAAACCTTTAGATCTCACCATGTGGCATTTATTTAGATTTGTCTACACAAATATCCTTTAATTTTGCATTTTATTTAATAAAAATGGTGGAATATGAAAAGTGCACTAAATTGGGCCTTTAATGGGTCCATTTTAGATCTCACAATGGTTTGGGCTGACCCAAAAATATGAACCATAAACCAAATCACTATCCCAAACCAACTAGAAACTTTATCAGTTACTATTCACTAGTAACATTCCATAATTTTTTTAGACCTCCAAAAATTCATTTCTCTCCATAATAATTCACATTTTAATATGATAATATGATCTGAAAATTTTCAGAATTTTTTACCGCCTCTAGGTATTTATTTTGAATTTTCTCCGATTAGGCCTTTATCAGTAGTTTTGAGGGAAACTAAATTCCCTAAAATTAATTATTGAGCTTCCAAGGCCTAAAATCAATTTTATAAATTCAAATAAATATTTATATGAATTTTCCATCAATCTCCCAAATTTATTGAGGCCTCTAACTCATTAAAATAATTATTTTCCTTTATTTCCCCAATAATTTCCCAAAAAACCTTTGTTTGCAAGAAATTCCGTAATAATTCATTTTCATTGAAATTTCACCTTTCGGGCCTCAACCAAGTTTTCAGAGCCTCTACTCTACACTTTTCCCATTTTTTAGGGAATTTCTAGAATTTTTCTCAAATTTTCCTATTTTGTCCTTCCTAGACTGATAATTACGGAAATGCCAGCCCGGACCTTTTTGGGGTTTCATATCAAAAGTTGTTTCATATCTTCGTCTAGTTCCTACATTGACCCTCATCCCAATTTTTAATCCTTTATTGTCAAATACAAATTTTTGGGATGTGACAGAAAGCACCAAAGAAATGAGCCTTGGGGCTTTATTGTGCTCTTCGAGCACATATTGTGATTATATTTGAATGAAATGACTCAAAAAACCTTTTTTTAATTAATATATTTTAATAATTTAACTTTATCAATTTAAATACTGCTTGTGGGAGTTTGGCATATGTCCTTAGAACAATAGCCAAACCCCTTGTCAGTGTGGATTGGATGCTAAATATGCGAGTGTTTCCAATGAGGTGTTACACATCACACAAGAAGGAAATAGCTCGAGGAGGCCAACATCACGGTCGTTCACTTGGTCATCGAAGAAGAGGAAGATAGACAAAGACCAAAGTGGAGAGGGACAGGCAAAGTGAGGGAGGGCTGGGGCTAGGGTGTTGTCACTAGCGAAGAGGGGATTGCCTTTATCAATGGTGGGGGTAGACAATGTGACACTGAAAGGTTGGTGGAGGACCTAAGTAAGAAAACATGAAGCTAGGTAGGGGGAGAGGGCAAAAATGAACTTAATGCAAATGGGATTAAAATCTTTTGGGTATAGTTTGGAATTCCATTCCATCAATTTTGATCATACCAAAGAAACTTCTTGATGGGAATGAATTCCATTTCCATACCCCCTCAATTCCATCGTACCAAACATGGCATTAGCAAGAAGTATATTATATAACCTTAATTTGGCTGAAAGGATATGTGATCAAGCATTAAATGATGAGCATATATCATAATTTTGTAGTAGATAACCATTAGCAAGCTCATAAGCATGGACTAACAAGTTAATGGGAATCTACTCACAAGTCAGAGGGTGTTAGGTGACAACTCAATTTATTAGATAATATAATCTTCAAAAAAGATGAAATTATAACAAAATAATATTATGTAATAATATTAAGCTGAAATCATGTGTGACCAAAGCAAGAACACTGATATTAGATGAAATGATGGGTTTATATCAAAATTTTGTTGTAGACAGACATTGACAAGCTCATGAGCATGGATTAACAAGTTAATAGGAAACCATTGACAAGTACAAGTGTTGGATTTGACAAGTACAACAAAATATAAATATGACATTATACCAAATTACTTTTTCTTGTATTTACAATATATTTACACCAAATTCACAAGGTCGACAGATATACACTCATCAAAGATAACTATGAATTTCATAACAATTCCATTGCATTTTTTTCCCCTACCATTGATCTTATCATTGTTTTAAATTCTTCATAGGTTATGCATTCTTTTATCATTTCACCTTGTATGCCATTAATAAATTGTCCCCATATATGAAGGAAATAGAATAGCTGCTTCCCACTTGAACTTGCCATCTTTCAAATCTACCTATGATAGGCATTGGTGAGTGACAAGCAAACCAATTATATTGACAACCTTTGATGCATCTATTAATAATACCATTTTTCCTTCGCATAACAAGGGGTTCTAACAATAAAAACTTGTCACATTCATTCACTTTCACTGTAAACAAAGCATCATATGCCAACAATCAGAGCATAAATTCATAACACTACCCACATATTGTGAAACCACACCTTAAACAATTAAGACCACCTATGATTAAAATGGGCCACTCTTGATAGTTCACATGAGTAATCATATCCCAAATACAAACACATCCATGCCCAATCAACTTTCAAACCAAAATTAAACTTTCAAGAACTATGGGGGAAAAGAAGATAAATGTTGTTAATGACAAGACCTACAAAGAAGATGAAGCAAAAAGATATCTTTCCTGGAATAATGGAGATGATGGAAATGGTTGTATAGCTCATTTCTTCTTTGTCAATCTTCTCTTCCCCTTGCAACAACAAAATACGCAGGATTAAACCCTCTTCCCAGCCTTCTTTTTTTCTTTTTCAATCAATGAGTGCAAAATCATATTTTCACAATTGTAATATTTTGCTCTTAGCTCCCTAGGGACTTAGGAATAATTTGAGGATTTGAAGGGACCTTGAGTTAATAAATTGTGTTACTTAGGACCTTGTATAATTTTCCCCATCAAATAATTTAATATCTAATTATTTGATAAAGATATATTTTCATTTTACTATATTTTTTCCCCAAAAAATGTTACTATATTTTAAAACCATAATTTAGAGAAAATTGTTACTCCTTTAATCCTTAATGTAAAACCTAATTAACTAATTTAAGTATATTAAGGATGTTAGTTCAATTAGTTAATATGATATTTTTTCCTAAAATACTCTAATCATCTTTCTTAATTTCCTTCCTATCTCTCCTACTTGATTATTGGTGAGGGAATATCAATAGGATTGATTTAGGAAAAAATTAATAAACATTTGAAATAGGCCTTGTCATATTAACATGTGTATTTAATTTCGTAGTTAAAATGCTTTAATTAATGGTTTATCTTGTTTTCTGTAATCAGGAATTATTGTTGAAAGAGTTTTCTCAATAAAGTTATTAATAAGAGACCTTCTCAATAACTTACTCAAGTTTCTAAAGATTGGTTTCTCTAAAATCCAAAATCTATCAAGTCTTCTTCTTCTCGATAAGGTTATCAATAAATCTTCTTCTTTTTAACTCACTCATGTTCTGGAGACTATTTTCCTAAATTCTCTAATCCTTAATTAAGTCTTTTTTTTCCAAATAAAGTTTTCAAGTTTTATATTTCTCGAGTTTCAACTCGAGTTTCAGTACTCTTAAACAAATTTATTAAAGAAAAGTTTTTTTTTAGGTTATCGAGTTCCTTACTGGGAAAAAGTGATTCTGGAGAATAGATTATATGGAGAATAAATTCTGAGAAAAAGTGATTCTGAGAAGTGAGAGTGTTTGGATAGTTATTACCAGAAGCACTTTTTACATGTGAAAATTACCAAAAAGGGTATAAGTTAATATGATAATTATATAAGGGATAGATTTTATGATATATTTTGATTTGAAGAAATAAAATTGTTAATGAAAAGTTTTTTACTAACATAATTAATAATATATAAGATAATGTAATTAATACATAATTAATATGTGTATATATATTTATAAAACGTAATATTAAATATATTTATAGAAAAATAAATTTTTTTTGCTAACAGAAAAATATTAATTTTCTTTAAAGATTTTAAACGTGAAATCCCATAACATTTTTTCACAACTACTTTTTGTAATAACATACTACATGTATAATAACCTCTGATGTTTAATACAATTAATTAATTAATTGTCACCACATATATATATTCATAAAATATAAGAGTAAAAATATTTTTAGAGAAGATGAATTATTTTGTTGCAAACAGAAAATCATGTATTTTTCATGAAGATTATAAACATAAAATGGGATGATATTGTTTGATAAAATAGAATAAACACGTCTTAAAACAATTTATTAATTATTAAAGTAAGTAATAATTAGCTTGAGAATATAAGGTATAATATTAATAAAAGAAATATAAATAAAGAAGTGTCATAATAATTAAGATGATGCATCGATACAAAGCATTTGTAATAGGTTTTGTTTTTAACTACATATTACAATCTATGATAAAAGGAAATAAATAAGACATGACTACTATCTTTGTATTGAATTAACAAGTTCATCTCTTATGCTGTCATGAACCTGAGCCATGTAAGATGAAGATTGAATTGATGAATGTATACGTGAAAATCC